TTCATCTCTATCTATAACAGTCTATTTTTAGCTGATAAGCATTTAAATTCAATTCATTCTTAGATCACACTTTGACATGTTTTACATCTTTTTGTTTCATGCATCTCCTGATTATTTATTGTAGTTATAGCTAATTTTGTTATTTTGTCTTCTAACCTTCATATTATATTTATAAGTGGTTGATTCAATGTTTATTCTACATTTGCCTTTACCAGTAAGATTCTTTTCTTTTCTGTATATTCTTATTTCTGATTATGGCCCCTTTTTTCTGCATTAAAGACCCTTTAACATTTCTTGCTTGTCTGAGAAACTTTGTCTCTCCTTCAATTCTGAACAATAACTTTGACAGATAATAGATAAAGGTTGTAGCACTTTAAGTAATTCCTGCCACTTCCTTCTGGTCTGTAAAGTTGCTTCTGAGGAATCAGCTGATAACGTTATGGGGTTTCCCTTTTATGTTGCTTGCTGTTTCATTCTTGCTGCCTCCTAGATTGTCTCTTTATCCTTAACTTTTGCCATTTTAATTAGAATATGTCTTAGTATGGGCCATATTGGATTCATCTTATTGAATTTCTCTGTGCTTCCTGGAGCTGGATATCTGTTTTCTACCCCAAATTAGAAAAGTTTTCAATCGTTATTTCATCAAATATTCTTTCTGTCCCTTTCTCTCTTCTTCTGGAATCCCTCCACTGCAAATGTTAGGGTGTCTAATGTTATCCCAGAGAACTCTTACTCAATCCTCATTTAAAAACATGTTGTTTTCATTTTGCTATTGTGTTGGGTGATTTCGCTATTCTGTCTTTCAGGTCACTAATCTGTTCTTCTGTATTAGCTAATCCAGTGTCAATTCCTTTTAATACATTCTTCATTTCAGTTACTATATTCTTTATCACTGGTTTTAAAATATATATATTTTATTGAGTTTTTTACAGAGAGGAAGGGAGAGGGATGGAGAATTAGAAACATCGATGAGAGAGAAACATTGATCAGCTGCCTCCTGCACACCCTCTACTGGAGATGTGCCCACAACCAAGGTACATGCCCTTGACTGGAATTGAACCTGGGACCTTCCAGTCCACAGGCCAATGCTCTATCCACTGAGCCAAACTGGTTAGGGCTATTACTGGTTTTTATTACATTTTCTATTTCTTTGTTGCAGAGCTCTCTGAGTTCCTCTATTCTACTCTCAAGTTGTTGAGCATCCATCATACTGTTTCCTTGAACTCTTTAGTATGCAGCTAGAGGCCCAGTGCACGAAAATGCATGCACTCAGGGGGTCCCTCAGCCTGGCCTTTGCCTTCTCGCAGTCTGGGAGCCCTCAGGGGATGTCCAACTGATGGCTTAGAGTGGGCCAAAGTTGCAGCCTGGCCTCCCTCTGCAGGAGGCGACTGGCAGGCCAATCAGGGGATGGTGAGTGGCTGGTCCCATCCCCCCATCACCCCTCTGCTGCTGCTGGTCCCTGCCACACCCCCCATCACTGTACCCTCCCTCTGCCCACTGGAAAAAAAGCAACTGTTTGACCCATATCAGTGATTTTTTTCTAATTCCAATTGTACTAGATTCCATTCTGAGTTATTTAATCAAATGTGTTTTTATTGATAGAATTTTTTTTAATTCATTGGGCAAATGTTTCTGGAGAACACAGTACATGCCACACATTTTTGGGGGGCAATGGGGATTTATACAGCAATACATAAAACAGACAAGCATTTGTTTTATTGGAGCTTACATTCTAATCCTATATAATAAAGAGCTAGTATGCTAATTAGACCAAACAGCAGAACATCCCAAAGAACTAAGCTGGGGCTGCAAGGGCCAGGCAAGGCTGCAAGGGGCTGCGAGGGCTGGCCAGGGCTGCGGGGGTTTGCAAGGGCCAGCCAGGCCTGCGAGGGGGTGTGAGGTTTGGCTGAGGCAGCTGGGGCTGTAAGGCCCAAGCCCTTGCAGAATTTCATGCATTGGACCTCTAGTTTTATTATAAGTTGTAGTACATGCATTATTTGACTATTGATTACATACTTCAAAATTCATTTAAATAATAATTGTGTTTTATTGTGGATAATACTCTGCTTTTATAAATAGACTAGAAGCCCGTTGCACGAAGAGATTTGTGCAATAGGCCTTCCCTTCCCCTAGCTGCAGGCTCTGGTTTTCCTCCGGCACCCGGGACCCAGGCCTATTGCACGAATCTTTTCGTGCAACAGGCCTCTAGTATTATGTGACTGTAATACAATTATTCAGAAAATTAACATCTGTATAATACTATGAACTATTTACAGACTTTATTCAAATTTTACTAATTGTCTAACTAAGGTCCTTTTTCTGGTTCAGGAGCCCAGCATTCTTTTCTGGGTTGACTCTCCTGCTAGATCATTCTTCTCTATATTGAGTCAAAGTTTTCCTCTCAGTAACTTTGACCTGATTCTGTTTTCTAGAGAGATACACAAAAATAAATCAAATTCTCCTAAATAATAAGTCTTAATTATTATGGCACCAGCATCATGTTCTTCATTATTTAATTTTTTTTAAACCCAAAAGACAAAAGTTAGTCATTGGACCTTTACATGAGTCCAATAATTATTTTTAATGGGTGAGGTTTAAAAAAGAAAAAAGATAGAGAATAGCACTGTAGCACCACCTATGGTAACAAAATGTCACTGCAGCCTCCTCACAGGGTGTGAACACCCGAATGAATACACATTGCACACATCCACCAGAATGACTAGTTTAAAAGGCTGCCAAAGTCACGTTGGTGAGAATGTGCTGTAATCAGAACTCCATATAATGCCCATGAGAATATAGGTAGTTCGCAATTTGTTTGAGAAACTGTTTGTAAGTATCTTCTAACATTGAACATTTTCTTACTCTATGACTCAGCTTTTATTTTCTGGTAAAAGCCTGAAACAGACTATACATTTTGCACAGAGCACTTAGTAATATACAAAACCAGAAATAACCTGAGTGTCTACCAGCAAAATAATGGATAAATAAATCATGGTAGTGGTAATACAATAAATTAGTATACCATGATGATAGTGAAGCAATCATTAGTAGAAGCAAAAATATTCATGACTATCCTATATAATAAAAGCCCAATATGCTAAGTGTCTGGTCATCCAAGACACTTTATGGCCGTTCAACCAATCAAAGGGTAATATGCTAATGATATGCTAAGGCCACTCAACCACTTGCTATGAGGTGCACTGATCACCAGGGCACAGGCGCTCCCACCAGTAGGTTAGCTTGCTGCTGGGGTCTGGCTGATTGGGACTGAGCTAGATAAGCCGGACACACCCTGGAGCCCTCCCGCAATCCCTCCTGTGTCCCTTCCTGGCCCTGATTATGCACCAGTGGGGTCCTTTGGCCTGGCCTGGCCTGTGCCCTCTTGCAATCTGGGAGCCCTCAGGGGATGTCAGAGAGCCGGTTTTAGCTCAATCCCACAGGCCAGGCCGAGAAACTCCACTGGTGCATGAATTCATGCACCGGGCCTCCAGTCACTAATAAAAGTCTGAGCTAAAGATGTCTGACACAAAGGAGTGCCATTCAATTTCTACTATGTTCACAATCAGAGTAATCTGTAGTGTTGAAGATCAGGACAGTTTCACTTTGGGGGAAAACAAGGAGGTAGTGATTTGGGTATGGACACAGGGAATGCTGGTAATGTTCCTTTTTTTTTTAGGTGTGAGTATGTACACTTGGTGATAATTCATTGAATATAAATTATGATTGGTTCATTTTCTGTACATATGTTGTACTCAACTAAAAACTTTAAAAAAATACTAATTAGAATATGTTTAAATTTTTAAAAGTATATTGGAAGATTATTTAACTCTAAAAATATTATTTGGTAATAAATTCTTATAATTGTTGCTATTTTCATTTATTGAACAAATATTTGTTATCTACTAGTTGCCAGATACACACCCTGGTTAAGCAGAGGCAAGGTCTCTGTAGAGATGTGGAACTAGAAAATAGAAAGTTGTGTCTTCTATAACAAAAAGAGAAGAGTCCTGTAGGGTTATATTTAATAAAAAATACAAAGTATCATTAATTGGAAAAATAATGGGCTAAAAAGGTAAAATTAAACAGTTTTAATAAAGTGTTATTACATTAGTTTCATGTAATTACAGTTGAGTAATCTACCAAAATAGGACGACAGTACCTCTATAGAACTGACTTGAAAGAAAAGTTAAAAATTATTTCCAATTAGCATAATGGCTATTAAAATATTTGTTTTAAGTTGCTGAAAATACATGTTTCCTTTTGAGTAAGAAAAGCACTTCCTGCTAACTCCCGACCATGTGCTCATGTGCCTACACACTATACAGCCATTCTTTGTTTACCGGTAGAATTAACACCAACATATGGCAACTGACTTTTGTTGATGCTTAAAAAAATATTTTCTGATTTCTATCAACCTCATTAATCCCATCCAAGAGATGTAACAAGTCACAATGCCCACGTGGGTTTACTGCTTCAACTATTGATTATCAGTCCCATCTGCATACTTTTTGAAAAATATAGATTTATGGCTCATCCTGAAAGACTCTGATTCACTGAGACTGCTTTCCACTTCAGTGGAAGACAAGTACCTACCATGTGAGTCAACACTAACTTAAACTTGTCAATTGTCAAGAATTCTAAATAATAGATATTGGTAAGTTTATTACTATCTCCATTGCTAGTTTCTTTTTCTGAATAGTCTCTACTATTTCAGCAGATAGCAGGCACAAGTAAATATTTACTCAATATATTTAATTGAGTTGATTTTTAAGATCAATAGAAAACAAGTTTATTAAATTGAAAATAACACACCTATAAATATTACTTAAAATTAAAATAATTTAAAGAGAAAATGGAATAAAAATAAATTTACACAATCTTTAAAAATTGTGGTAATACATACACATCTTTAACATACTCTCACCAAATAGAATATCCATTCCTATTACATATGGAATTTGTATATTAAAGGCTAAAACTTTAGAATAATAAATGACTGTATTCATATTTCACTGGTAACATTTTATTGAAACATAACAAGTTTCCAACATAAATAAATAGATTGGATTTATTTTGTATGAAAATTGTACTATTTAAAACTTCACAAACTAGAGACTCTTCATATTAAATGGTTAGGTCAAATTAATGTTATTGTTAAATCTTAATGCTGTTTTAGGGGTGAAACTCATTATCATTATGATGACAGTTGAATTGGTCATTAAGTAAATCCTATTTTAGAGCAGTTATTTGTAGTTATATGTCGGTGGTTGCTGGCTATGGAATCTATAGTTACCAATAGTAGATATAGGTTCTGGTATGGAAGTAATGACAGTGGATGTTAAGATTTAATTTTCAGGCATCCTAACTACAGCTGCGATTAAAAGGTCATTATGAATTTGCCATTTCTGTCAAGTGGGAGTGATGATGTGATCTACTGTATTTACTATTAATGGAGGCAGTGATTGGTTCAGATGAATAAGTAATGGATGGCTTTGAATAACATGTCAACAGAAGTTACAGTGCTTATAAATTCAGGTGAAGGGTTTAGTGATAGGTATTGTAGTAGTAAGTACAGTAGAAATGATGGTGCATGGAAATGGTAGCATGACTGTATGAACAATAAATGTGGTGGTACCTACTGTGAAATATGAAAAGTTACAGTACTAGCATATTTTGTTAATGTTGTCATACTATACACTCATTTGAAGGGGCAGTGAAATTGCTAATTGCACTGTAATAGGTTACTTAGAAGGTGATGATAATTTTCTATTAACAGGTAATATAGGTTATGCAGATTATAAATTCAGCTGAAGTCATGCTATTGTGTCTGTAAAGTCAGTTGGGTTAGCATCTGTGTTGATTTAATTCTTATTGAGGTGTGGCAGTGGAGGTAGAAAATGATGTTTTAGTTGAATCAGAAAGCAAACTAGATTCAGTCACTAATTAAGTCACTAGATTCATATACTTACTGTGGGCAATGTACATTCAGTTGAAGAACAAGTATTGGTGTCTGGAGATTCTGTTAAACTGATGCTAATTACACGTTCATTTAAATGGAAATTTTTCAAATTTGAGTTGAATTTGTTGAATGGTTTATGGTTGTACCTTAAGCTGGAGTGACAGGGGTTGGCAGAATGGATAAGACAAAGTTGAAATGGTACTGTAAGCTTTAACAGTAGATTCAGTAGAAGTTATTGTGATCACAGGCCCAGTAAATATGCAACTGGTACTCATATCTATAGGTGCAAAAGAAAATATAATTGTACATGTAGTGCAATTCAGATGAAGGCACAATGCTTGCAGTTATGGCAGTAGGTTCAAATTAAAAGATGGCATTCATACTTGTGACAAGGTGGTGGCTGCATAGCGGTTGTAGATTAGATAGAAGTAGTAGTAACCACTGGGTGGTGGTCTGGTAGTAGTGTGGGTAGTTGTTGTGGTAGGTGCCTGCTGTGGTGATTATAAGTTCAATAGAGGAGTTAGTGGTAATTGTGATTATGGCCAAAGGGGTAGCGCTGGCAGTAGCTGTGGAGATTCGTTCTGTTGAAGTGGAGCTGCTGCTGTGGTGGTGGGTTTATTTGAAAGGATATCAGTGACTGTGGTGAATATAGGTTTAGTAGAAGCAGTGGTGTTGTACCACATGGTTGCAGTCTTACAGATAGCACTGGAAATTATTGTGGCAGTTGATTAACTTGAAATGGTGGTAGCAGGTTCAGTAGAATAGAAGACTGACTGGTGGCTGCTGTGTTTGTAGCCTCAATAGAAGTGCTGGTAGTAGGTGTGGTAGTTGGTTTACTTGAAGTGGTTTCTGCTGATAAAGTGGTTGTAGATGGAGTGGAGGCAGTACCGGTAGCTGCTGTGGTTGTAGCCTCACTGGTTATAGGCTCAGGAGAAGCAATAGTGGTGTCAGAAATGGTTGTAGACTCAGTAGCAGTGCTGGCAGTGTTTGTGGTAGTTGGTTCACTTGCAGTGGTTTCTGTTGCCATCATGGTTGCAGATGTGGTAGAAGTGGTACTGGTGGACTGTGTGGTTGTAGCTGCAGGGGTACTGCCAACAGTAGTTGTGGTAGTCGTTTTAGTTGTAGTGGGGGCTGCTGTTGTGGTTGTAGGTCCAGATGAAGTATCAATTGCAGTGGTGGTCATAGGTTCTGCAGAAACAGTGGTATCTGACGTGGTTGTAGCCTCAGGGGTAGTGCTGGACACTGTGGTGGCAACTGGTGCACTTGATGAGGTGGCTGTTGTTGTGGTTGCGGGTTCAGTAGAAGTTGTAGTGGTGGCTGTTGTTGTAGCCTCAGTGGTAGCACTGGCAGTACTGGTGGTTGGTCCTGTTGAAGTAGTGGCAGCTGTGCTGGTTGTAGCTTCAGTTGAAGTGGTTTCTGCTGATGTGGCAGTTGTAGATTCAGTAGAAGCAGTAGAAATGCTGGTGGTTGTAGCCTCAGTAGTGCTGGCAGTGGTTGAGATAGTTGGTTCAGTTGAAGTAGCAGCTGTTGTGGTGGCTGTTGTAGTGATAGCTGCAGTGGTACTGCTGACAGTTGTGGTAGGTGGTTCTACTGATGTGGTGGCAGATGTAGTGGTAGTAGGTTCAGCTGAAGTGGTGTCTGCTACTGTGGTGGTTGTAGATTCGGTAGAAGTGGTGGTGGTGGCTATTGTGGTTGTAGCCTCAGTGATGGTATTGGCAGTAGTTGTGGTGGTTGCTTCAGTTGTAGGTTCAGTTGAAGTGGTAGGTATTGAAGTGGTGGTTGTAGGGTCAGTAGAAGCAGTAGTGGTGTAAGATATGGTTGTAGACTCAGTGGCAGTGCTGGCAGTGTTTGTGGTAGTTGGTTCACTTGCAGTGGTTTCTGTTGCCATCGTGGTTGCAGATGTGGTAGAAGTGGTACTAGTGGCCTGTGTAGTTGTAGTCACAGGGGTACTGCTAGCAGTTGTTGTGGTAGTCGTTTCAGTTGTAGTGGGGGCTGCTGTTGTGGTTGTAGGTTCAGTTGAAGTAGTATCGGTTGCTGTGGTGGTTATAGGTTCTGCAGAAACAGTAGTGGTGTCTGACGTGGTTGTAGTCTCAGGGGTAGTTGTGGTGGAAGTTGGTACACTTGACGAGGTAGCTGTTGTTGTGATTGCAGGTTCAGTAGAAGTTGTAGTGGTGGCTGTTGTGGTGGTAGACTCGGTGGTCATACTGGCAGTAGTTGTGGTTGTTGCTTCAGTTGTAGGTTCAGTTGAAGTGGTATCTGTTGCTGTGGTGGTTGTAGGTTCAGTAGAAGCAGCAGTGGTGTTGGATGTGGTTGTAGCCTCAGTGGTAGCACTGGCAGTACTGGTAGTTGGTCCTGTTGAGGTAGTGGCAGCTGTGCTGGTTGTAGCTTCAATTGAAGTGGTTTCTGCTGATGTGGCAGTTGTAGATTCAGTAGAAGCAGTAGAAATGCTGGTGGTTGTAGCCTCAGTAGTGCTGGCAGTGGTTGAGATAGTTGGTTCAGTTGAAGTGGTAGCTGTTGTGGCTATTGTAGTGATAGCTGCAGTGGTACTGCTGACAGTTGTGGTAGGTGGTTCTACTGATGTGGGGGCAGATGTGGTGGTGGAGTTGTAGTGGGGGCTGCTGTTGTGGTTGTAGGTTCAGTAGAAGTAGTATCGGTTGCTGTGGTGGTCATAGGTTCTGAAGAAACAGTAGTGGTGTCTAATGTGGTAGTAGCCTCAGGGGTAGTGGTAGAAGTTGTGGTGGCAGCTGGTGCATTTGACGAGGTGGCTGTTGTTGTGATTGCAGGTTCAGTAGAAGTTGTAGTGGTGGCTGTTGTGGTGGTAGACTTGGTGGTCGTACTGGCAGTAGTTGTGGTTGTTGCTTCAGTTGTAGGTTCAATTGAAGAGGTATGTGTTGCTGTGGTGGTTATAGGTTCAGTGGAAGCAGCAGTGGTGTCAGATATGGTTGTAGCCTCAGCCGTGCTGGCAGTGGTTGAGATAGTTGGTTCAGTTGAAGTGATAGCTGCTGTGGTGGCTGTTGGTCTAGTAGAAGCCATCATGGTGGCTGTTGTAGTGATAGGCGCAGTGGTACTGCTGGCAGTTGTGGTAGGTGGTTCAATTGATGTGGTGGCAGATGTAGTGGTAGTAGGCTCAGGTGAAGTAGTCTCTATTACTGTGGTAGTTGTAGATTTGGTAGAAGCAGTGGTGGTGGCTGTTGTGGTTTTAGCCTCAGTGGTAGGGCTGGCAGTGTTTGTGGTAGTTGGTTCACTTGCAGTGGTTTCTGTTGCCATTGTGGTTGCAGATGTGGTAGAAGTGGTACTGGTGGCCTGTGTGGTTGAAGTCACAGGAGTACTGCTAGCAGTTGTTGTGGTAGTCGTTTCAGTTGTAGTGGGGGCTGCTGTTGCGGTTGTAAGTTCATTTGAAGAGGTATCGGTTGCTGTGGTGGTCATAGGTTCTGCAGAAATAGTAGTGGTGTCTGATGTAGTTGTAGCCTCAGGGGTAGTGGTAGAAGTTGTGGTGGACGCTGGTGCACTTGACGAGGTGGCTGTTGTTGTGATTGCAGGTTCAGTAGAAGTTGTAGTGGTGGCTGTTGTGGTGGTAGGCTTGGTGGTTGTACTGGCAGTAGTTGCAGTTGTTGCTTCAGTTGTAGGTTCAGTTGAAGAGGTATGTGTTGATGTGGTGGTTATAGGTTCAGTGGAAGCAGCAGTGGTGTCAGATATGGTTGTAGCTTCAGTAGTGCTGGAAGTGTTTGGGGTAGTTGGTTCACTTGAAGTGGTTTCTGCTGCCATGGTGGTTGTAGATGTGGTGGAAGTGGTACTGGTGGCCGGTGTGGTTGTAGCCTCAGTGGTAGGGCTGGCAGTAGTTGGGGTTGTTGTTTCAGTTGGGGGTTCAGTTGAAGTGGTATCTGTTGCTCTTTTGGTTGTAGGGTCAGTAGAAGCAGTAGTATCGGTTGCTGTGGTGGTCATAGGTTCTGCAGAAACAGTAGTGGTGTCTGACGTGGTAGTAGCCTCAGGGGTAGTGGTAGAAGTTGTGGTGGCAGCTGGGGCACTTGACGAGGTGGCTGTTGTTGTGATTGCAGGTTCAGTAGAAGTTGTAGTGGTGGTTGTTGTGGTGGTAGGCTTGGTGGTTGTACTCGCAGTAGTTGCAGTTGTTGCTTCAGTTGTAGGTTCAGTTGAAGAGGTATGTGTTGCTGTCGTGGTTATAGGTTCAGTGGAAGCAGCAGTGGTGTCAGATATGGTTGTAGCTTCCGTAGTGCTGGAAGTGTTTCGGGTACTTGGTTCACTTGAAGTGGTTTCTGCTGCCATGGTGGTTGTAGATGTGGGGGAAGTGGTACTGGTGGCCGGTGTGGTTGTAGCCTCAGGGGTAGTGGTAGAAGTTGTGGTGGCAGCTGGGGCACTTGACGAGGTGGCTGTTGTTGTGATTGCAGGTTCAGTAGAAGTTGTAGTGGTGGTTGTTGTGGTGGTAGGCTTGGTGGTTGTACTCGCAGTAGTTGCAGTTGTTGCTTCAGTTGTAGGTTCAGTTGAAGAGGTATGTGTTGCTGTCGTGGTTATAGGTTCAGTGGAAGCAGCAGTGGTGTCAGATATGGTTGTAGCCTCTGTGGTAGTGCTGACAGTAGTTGTGGTTGCTGCTTCAGTTGTAGATTCGGTTGAAGTGGTAGCTATTGCTGTGGTGGTTGTAGGTTTAATAAAAGCAGTAGTGGTGTAGGATCTGGTTGTAGCCTTAGTCGTGCTAGCAGTAGTTGAGATAGTTGGTTCAGTTGAAATGCTAGCTGTTGTGGTGGCTGTTGGTACAGTAGAAGCTGTCGTGGTGGCTGTTGTAGTGATAGCCGCAGTG